AAATTTAAAAAAACGAACATCCAAATTATTTAAATACCATTAAATCTATAATACTTGCAAATGATACAAACGTATTTAAATCCTTGACAACAATCAAAAATCTTTAACAAATAAAATAAAATGAAGTAAACAAATTATTTTTTTTAATTTAGATAAAAATAAAAACAAACTATTTCACTCTAATCAGCAACAGCAATAAATTACCCAAAGTTCTACCAATAGTTAACATAGAAAATAAACCTAGTAAAAGAGCACAGATTACTAAAATTTTATGGGTTTATATTGATAAAATATCTCTTAAAAAACTCACAATGAATAAACATAGAAATATTAAAGAATATACTCTACAAGGCAAGACCATTGTTGTTACAAAATAATATGATAACACTTTTTCTTTAAATTTAAATTCCATAAGTTCATATGAACGCCTTTAGAACATTTAGAAGTCTCGCAAATCAAGTTTAGAGTCGCATATATATATATATATATATATATATATATATATATATATATATATATATATATATATATATATATATATATATATATACATATATATATATATATATATATATATATATATATATATATATATATATATATATATATATATATATATATGTATGTATATATATATATATATACATATATATATATATATATATATATATATATATATATATATATATATATATATATATATATATATATATATATATATATATATATATATATATATATATATATATATATATGTATATATATATATATATATACATACATATATATATATATATATATATATATATATATATATATATATATATATATATATATATATATATATATATATGTATATATATATATATATATATATATATATATATACATATATATATATATATATACATATATATATATATATATATATATATATATATATATATATATATATATATACATATATATATATATATATATATATATATATATATATATATATATATATATATATATATATATATATATATATATATATATATATATATATATATATATATATATATATATATATATATATATAAGGGTTTGGTTTGGCCAATCAGCAAGGTCAGGCATAGGGTTAGGGTTAGAGTTAGGGTTAGTTAATTTAATGAAAATAATCGTTTTTGTAAATATATATATATATATAAATATAATAGATATTTTTAAATAAAAATAATAAAAATGTTTGTTAAAAAAGATTTTTTTTACGAAAATAATAAATTTAAAAATGAGTAGGGTCGTTGCCACACCTAGCGTGAGTCGACACTTATCGTAGGTTTTAAATACTAACATAAATTTTGCACTAAGTAGTAATTATTATTTTTATATATATATTTTGTTTATCAACAACATCGTCATGCCCTTCTATTACAATACATAGAAACCGCAATACATAGTTACTTATATAAACTCAGTGGGCTTATTACGTCAGCCTATGAAAATACTTTTTTTTAAGTACCAGCTGTTAGAAGCGTTTCAAATAAAACAAGATAATTTAAGAAGATAAGATAAAAATTTTTTCTAAATGGATTTATTAAGGTAAATAAAACATGGATCATTATTAATATTATTAAAACCACTCATCATTATAGTATCAATGTAGTATTTTTGAACGTACGATAAGTATGAACTAAAAAAATGTCATTCCATACATATCGTATGTCCAATAAATAATCAATTTGTTTCTTTTTTACTATAAAAATAAAAATTTCAGTTAGATTCTTTTACAATGGCAAGACAAAAATATAAGACAAAAGTTTGTAGCTCAAAATGAAGACTTCAATATACAGATAGCCAATTAAGAGATGCTATTAATGCTGTTAAAAACGGTATGGTTGTGTACAAAGCAAGCAAGACGTTTGGAATTCCTTATCAGACGCTTCGTGATAAAATATCTAGAAAAACTTCTCTGAAGATACAACACTGCGGTTATGAACCGGTACTAGGTGAACACATTGAAACTAAATTAGTCGAGTGGTTACTAACATGCACCAGAATGGGAATTGCCATGTCTGTAGTACAGCTATTAAATACTGTGCAAAAATACTTGAATTCCAACAATATAAAAACACAATTTACTAACAACCGTCCTGCAAAAGGTTGGTCTTATGCATTTCTTCGCCGTCACGAACAGTTATCTCAAAAACGAGGTGAATACTTAATCCGAGCTAGAGGAGGAGTAACTGAAAAAGCCAAAATTTTTAGGAGAAAAAAAATTGGTTTACTGAAATTCCAAAGCTTTTAGGAGAAAACGCTCAATATTTAAATGATTCGATGCGCGATTTTAATATGGATGAGAATGGTTTTCAGTTGTCACCAAAAACTAATTTATTAATTGGTGAACGAGGAAAAAAAACATATGAAGAAAGTGCTCGAAGTAATAAAAAAAACATCACCACTTTATTTGCAGTAAATGCCAACGGAACTTTTGCTCCACCATTAACAATTGTTAAATATGTTCGTCTTCCAAATAGAATTATAAATACTGCTCCATCAGGATGGGGTATTAAAAGTGAAAATGGTTGGATGACCGCAGAATGTTTTTTTGAGTATATTGCAAACATTTTTCATCCATTTTTGATAAAAGAAGAATATCCTATACCAGTTATAATTTTTTTTGATAGTCATGCGTAACATTTTTGGAATATTTCTCGTTCCCTAACCCTAACCCTGACGTAACATTTTTGGAATAATTCTCGTTGCTTTGTTCCCAAATGCAACACATGTTTTGCAGCCGCTCGATGTAGCAGTTTTTGGGCCAATGAAAGCAAAGTGGAAATCTTTATGCCGACAATGGCGCATTGACCATAAAGGACAAGAAATAAACAATGAAAATGTACCAGAAGCATTAAGTTCATTTATAATTGATTCTTCTATGGCAAATAATGTTAAAAGTGGTTTTAAAAATTCCGGAATATTTCCATTTGATGCTAATAGTGTGGACTACACAACAATTGTTCAAAGACTATCTGAGTCAACTGTGGCTCCGACTCCTTATTTAGAAGAGAATAAATCAAGTGTGACTTTATCAGTTTCCTCTCCCATAAACTTTATTGAAAACTTCATTGATCCAAGTATTTTAGAGCAGTTTAAAATAGCTGACGAACATTTAGGTTGGAATGGTGACCTTGAATATCTCCAGCTGTATCTTTTTTGGAAAAGAGCCTCATCTGAAACATATAAGACCACAACTTTACCTGATGAAATACAACAGGGTAATCAAAATCTATCAACAACTTGTAACTTAGAAAATGTGCAAATTATAACCGGTATGGAAATACCTGATTGCAATATTGCAGCGGATATAGAACCAAAACCAGCTTGTTCTTGTTTGAAAATAGCAGCAGAAATCATAAGCCAAATTGAAAGAGTTTTAATATGGCCAAAACAACCAGTCCAAACGTCCAAGCGCAAAATAGAACGTTTACCATCGGTTGTAACATCTGAAACGTGGCAGCAAATTCAAAAGACAAAATTGCAAGAAAAGTCACAAATAAATGATGAAAAATTAAGAAAGAAACAATTAGCTGCAGATAAAAAGTTAAAAATAGAAGAAAGATTAAGAAAGAAACAAATGACTATGGAGAAAAAGTAATTAAATGAAAAAACTAAAAAAGAAAGAGAAAACATAAAAATTTTGAAAAAGAAAAATAAAGTTGCAAAAGAAAAAGTAAGCTCAAAACTGAGTCAGAAAACGAGTTCCATTGTTAACAATAATTATAAAATAAGACTCAGATAATTATGATGAAACTCTATCCATTCCAGTTTAAAAGATTTGTACTTAAGTAATGGAAATGCTTTAATAATCTTTAGTTTTAATTCAAAATAATATTTTCATTACTATATAATTAATGTTTATTTAATATATATATTTTTTATTTATATACCTAAAAACGTTTAATAAAATGTTACTAATGCATTAAATTTTCATTTGAAACCGCGGGCGCATTATAAACCAGTCACTAAAGCATATTTTAAGATATACGATAAGTGTCAACAATATATACGATAAGTGTGAAACACTTACGATAAGTATGGAAAACTGCGCTTTAAAAGTTTGATCAAAATAAGTACATTATTGATTTAAATTTCAGAGTGAGAATAATTTTAGACTAACCCTTATAATACTACATTGATGGCTGCAAAAATTCATTTCTAATAAATTTCTTCTTTTTGAGTAATCTAACATAATATAATAACTTTTGTTAAAGTCACGGTAAGTGCGGAAACCACCCTAAATAAAAATTGACATAAAATAAAAATATAAAAAAAAGAACAAAATTAAATTTCTTCAACTTTTAATATACCTGAAAACTCATGACTTTATCGTTAACATTATGTATAATAACGAAGGTTAAATATAATTAAAAAAGTTGCAGTAAAAAAAGAAGAAATATTGTCAAAAAATGTTTATTACTAATTTAATAAGAAAAAAGTTAATTACCGTAAAAGTATATTTAATCTAATTTTAGTATTTTTATCGAATTAATACTATTTGATATTAATTATATTTTAATATTTATAGTAACAAAAGAAAAAAATATAGTAATATTTTAATCAAAATGATCAAAATTCATGAAATAGTTATGAAATTATATAAAAACAAAGTTTATAAAAAAATATTATATATTTAAACAAAGAATAATATCAATTATTATTATTTATAGTTTAATGTTATTATTATTATGGAAAATGTTAAAAAATTAATAATTTTAAAAAACTATTTACCATAAATATAATTATATATTTAATAGTTTATGTAACAACTATTTTTATTAATATATTTTAAAATGAATTAATTATAAATATGAATATACTAATATAATACTGAACTTTTTCATTAAAATCTAATATATTTAAGTTATTTCGTATATTTAAAGCATATATTTATAAAAAAATAAATTAAATAATTTAATTTTTTTATTATTTTTATTACTTAAAAATACATTAAATATTTCATTTAATATTTTATAATTATTGTTTTCATTTTATATATTTAAAATGTTTAACATTTTTCAGCGTTATAACTTAATTCATAGAGGTTATAAAAAAATTTTCCACGGTGCTCGATATTAAACAACTTGATGTTCGAACAACGAATCCATTCACAAATGTTTTTAATGAAATCAATGTCGTCGTGAAGTGAAAGTTTTAATTCATCACAAAGAAGAATCCAAGGAAGAAAGTTTTCTTCAAAATCTTTTTTTGTTATTAAATAATCTGAGATGCATATATACAACACTTCAATCTTATGTTTCGGTTTCCATCCGTCGAAATTAATTGGACGAGAAAAGCTGACAACGCGAACATTAGTTGAACATTGAATTAAAAGATTTTTTTCTTCATCATTTAAAATATTTTTATGAACCCGTAACCACTCTAACTTTGTTTTGCAAAAATGACTAAAGTGATTTTTGTAATAATTTATGAAATAAATATCGCAAGAAGTTGCGTAAGAAGTTTTTCCATCCTCAATCGAAATCTTCCAACCATAATAGTTAGATTTATTTGATCTTCCTTCATTTCGTTCATCAACAAAATATATTATATCAAACAATGACAATTGACTTTCGTAAAAACATTCGTAGAAAAAATCAAAATCAGGAAAACTTTCAAGACCATTACTTAGATGATCTAAAGAAAAATTAAATGTCAAATATAACAATAAACAAATAAATAATAAACAATAAATAAAACTATAATCAAAGTTCTGATATTTTATATATAATATTATTCTTTTTCTCTATATATATATTAATATTAAACTATAGATAAATAAAAAATTAAATACAGTTTCTTATTATTAATAAATATATTATATTTACATTACATTGTAATATTATAAACATAAACACATTAATATCAAATTAATATTAAATTATAAAAATATATATAAAATTTAATAAAACTTTTAAACAAAATAACTTCTTAATAAAAATTATAATAAATATAATAATTTTAATAATTTGAACATAACTTTTAAATTAATAAATTTTATTATAATTATTGTGTTTTTAATTTTTAATAACCAATAATATACATATTTAGTATATTATTTTTTACTTAAAATAACATAAAACAGATTAAAAATATGTTTAAGTTAAAGAAAAATACTTTATTTATTCAAATTGTTATTCGAAATAAATATCATAATTTTTTTTAGATAAGGAGATATCTTTTTTTTTTATGTACATGAGTGGGTCAGAAGCCAAGGGGTACAAGTGACATTTTCATAGTATTGAGATACAGCGGTTTAAAGTTAAAGTATTTTTGTTAAATATACTCAGCTGTTGTTATGTTTTTCCAGTAGAAAGCAGCACAGGGCAGAGATTCACTTGTATCCCTTGGCCACCAACAATTTTGTTTGCTTCTTCTATCAAATTCTATTCTTAACTTAACTTTGGTAAAATTTTCACTTGTACTCCTTGGCTTCTGACCCACTCATATGCGATTGATTTTTATTTAATATAAAAAACACATATTTATAATAAAAAAAAATTAGTTTTTTATTATATATACGTGTTTTGTAAAATTATTAAGTTAAAACGCATTTTTAACAACTTTAAAAGAAACAAAGCTTAAACAAGATTATTTTCATGTTTACTTTAAATCTTTGAAAAGTTTAACAAGTCTGGAAACGAATGCCGTTTTCTATAGGTGACAGAACCACATCAAATATTTTTAAAATGATATTTTACGGTGCAGACTTTATATTTGAATGAATTCAATCCTGTTTTAACTACTATTGAGCTGCTATTTATTAAAGACAGACCTAAATTGAAGTTCAAACATTAGGCTACCTAATTTATCCTAAACAAAGTGCAGAAGGAATATTTATGCGTTTATTTTGCAAGAAACGATGTATACCACAAGGTGACTCACCTCAACGATAAATATCACAAGGTGACATCACCTTAACACAGAACACAAGGACATCTTGTCTTTGATAAACAATTGATACTACTGATAAACAATTTAGTAAAGAATAAAAGAAATCAAAGATTATTAAAATGTAAATTATACTATCTTTAGGGGGAAAATTTAATCAAAGTTTATTTATTTATGCCCTATAAAAAAAATTAAAAAAAAATATTAATGTTAGTCTTGCTCTCAAAACGCTTAAAATCGGCCGTTTATAGTCATTTTAAGGTTCGTTTTTTTTCTTTCCAATATGTCTTTTGAGGATAGGGAATGAGTGATTCAATGGCGCTCAGTTTTTTAGCGAGTTAGTTTAATCATATTTGCTTCAAATATTTGGTTTTTTAGTTTGGTTTTTTAAATAACAATAGTTTGGTTTTTTAAATAACAAAACATTTTAACGTCTAAGAGATGGTTTCCAATAGCAGTAACTATGTCTAACAAGAATTGTGCTTTTAAATTTAAATGAATCGTTTTTTTTTTTTAAAAAGCGTAAGTCACAAAATACAATTCAAAATATAAAAAAACTTTGTATCAAAAAAACCTCCTAATAAAAAAATTTTTGAAAATTAATTTGAAAGTAAAAGTCACTGTTTTATAAAATTGGTAAAGCTTAATAAAGTTTAGTATTTTATTTTTAAACCACTCTATAGAACTATTTTTAAATAAAAATATTTTAAACTATTCTTTCGAGTATATTGACTTGTGTTAAAAAGCGTTATAAATGAATTTAACATCATTTTTTAAGTTTTCTATCAAATTATTATTTTTTAACCAGAAGTTTACATGTAACTTTTTTTAAGAGTATTTTAATATTCATTTTAATAAAGCATATAAAAAAAGTGCAATAATATGTTGCATTCTCCCCCATACATGACCGAAACCTATTAAGGATGCAATAAATATATATTATCTCCACTGACACACACTTAACATGCATTAATCTCAAACTATACTCTTGCGTTAATAATACATGGTAGGGAAGGTTTTTAAAACTTTGAAAAACTGTCTCACTCACCCCTTTTAAAATCTCGTACCCTACTTTTTATTAGTGTTTCCTTTCTTTTAGAAAAAACAATTATATCCTCACGTTAAAAAATAAAGTTTTCAAATCATTCTTTATTTTTTTTTTTTTTTTTTTTTAGTGTAATTTATTTCGCCGTTAAAAAATGTTTACATTGCATATACATTTATATAAATTGATGGCTGGAGCAAGAAGAAGGCACATTTCGCCTTATCGCCGAGCCCCATTAAAAATTCTACATTACCGTAACATACAAATATATATATATAAAAGAAACAATTAGAAATGAAATAGAAAATAACTAATATAATAAAAAAAATAAAAAATAAGAATTAATTAAGAAGCGTTAAGATGCTTAACAGTTGCTAAAATGTTTAAGAAATAAGTTAATATAAAAAAAAAAAAAAAAAAATTCCTGAATATAAAAGAAATTGAAAAAATAAAATCTCATAATTAACACTAAATGAATATGTAACATCATCACTTATGACATCATCGCTTGTGACATCATCACTTGGATTTCTTATTCTTTTTTTTTTTTTTTTTTTTTTCCTTTTTCTTTCTTTTCTTATTCATATTATCATATATCATTGATATAATTGAATCTGTTTTTTTTTATTTTTTTTTATTGTGTTTACTTTAAAATAAACATTTAAAGTCGGATTTATTGAGATCCATGAACAATAATAATCGTTTTGATTCATCCTTAAATTGCTCTAATGTAGTCTGCTTTTTGTTAACAATATCTGGAAATTTCTTCCACAGATAAGGTCCGCGGTATTTAATTGAATAGGAAGTTAATTTTAATTTATGTTTTGGAACAACAAAATTGTTTTCTGAAAACTTTGTTGAGTACCTATGGTTAATTTTATTAAAATAAGATTGAAATATTTTAGGAGACAATTCCTTTTTTGTTTTAAACATAAACAATAAAACTTGGTGTAAATTGAGTTTATATACATTTAAAGCAACGAGCACACTTAGAAGTGGTTCGCAAGGAACATTTCTGTCGGCTCCAAATACTATTCTACATGCATGTTTTTGTTTATTGTAGAGTTTCTTTAGTTTTGTATGGCTAGTACTAGCCCACACAACATTACAATAAGCAAATAACTGTGAATAAAGGCGAAATATAATTTTTTCAGAGATGATATATTTAGAAAGGGTTTAGCCCTAAACATCATTGCAATATTTTTTGAGATTATTTTTTCAATGCTATTTATATGTGAACACCATTTTAAATTTTTATCCAATTTTACTCCTAAAAAGTTTATGTAAGATTCCCTTTTAATATAAGTTTTATTAATATTAAGATCTGGTAATTTAAGAGGAATATTTTCTGATTTATTTACTTTATGGAAAAGCATATATTTTGTTTTTTCCGCATTAAGTGAAAGTTTATTACTTACGAACCATGCACTAACATTACATAACTGTTCGTTAACTATTTTAAAAAGTGATTTAATATCTCTGTGAGAACAAAAAAGATTTGAATCATCAGAAAACAAAATTAGGTCTAAAAAATTTGTTGATAGGTATAAGTCGTTTATGTACAATATAAATAAAAGTGGTCCTAAAATAGAACCCTGAGGAACCCCGCAAGTTATGGAGTGTGGAATTGTATTACTTTGATTATAGTATAAAAATTGCTTTCTGTTAGTCAGATAATCTTTGAACCAAAGTAAGTTTTTATTTTTTACACCGTAGTTTTCGAGTTTTTTTATTAGTATATAGTGATTTACGGTATCAAAAGCTTTCGACAGATCAATGAAAACTCCTAATGTAAAACAGTCATTATCTAAGGCATTAGATATTTGATTGGAAAGTTCAACTACTGCGTGCTCAGTGGAATTTTTTTTTTTAAAACCAAATTGTTTACAATACAACATGTCGTTCTCAGTTAGATGATTATAAAGTCTGGTATACATTATTTTCTCTAGCAATTTTGAAAAACAAGGTAAGATTGATATAGGCCTTTGATTTAAAATATTTGACTTATCTCCAGATTTAAAAATTGGTGTTATACGGGCAATTTTTAATTTATTAGGAGCAATACCTGACTTTATCAAAACACTAATTTTATCAAAACCTTCACTTTTTTTACTTTTGAGACTGCTAAATGCAGTTCTCAACTCACTCAGTTTTAAATCAGTTTCATCCATAAGTTTATGTTAAGTTTTTAAGTATGAATCAAATGGAATGGAATTAGTAGAAATTTTAGCAGCCAAATTCGGGCCAATATTAACAAAGTAGTTGTTTAGTTCTTCAGCTATAATTGATTTTTCATAAACTAATTCTCCATTAATTAAAAGATTTTTTGGCAGAGTGCTTTTGTTATAATTATTTTTTCCAATTAAATCCTTAATTAAATTCCATATTTTTTTAGTGTTTCCGTTGGTTTTCTTTAATAATTGATCATAAAATAATTATAGTAATTCCTAATTTGTAATAACTTTTGATTCTTAAAAGCTTTTATAGGGTAGGTCATGGCCTATTATATTCACGACCGTACGTCTTACATTTTTGAGGGGGATATTAACAGGCCGATTTTTACTGAAAAAATGGCTGCGCAGAACATTATATTATTAAAAAGCAACTTTATTCTTAATTTTTAACTTAAAGTTCCTCAATGTAAAGGTGGCAATTGTTTTTAATATATATTTACTCTTTAAGATAAAGTAGATAAAAAAGA